GTACACTGGACCCTGTACCTGTGACTGAATATGTGTACACCTGGGAAGTGTTTTAGTATGTATGATCCATGGAATGCTCCAGATTCTGAAAACATAAATTAAAGTGTTTAGGCTTTTGGATATAATCAGTCTAGAAACATAATAGGTCTTGAATAACTAAAGAAAACACAAAACATTTTCCCAGCTAAAGGAGAAATGTCAGCTAAATAACAGAAGTCAAGACACCCAGGTATCTGCCTGCCACAGACAGCGCATGGAAGTTGAAAGGGACGTCTAAGACTGTATAATCAGAAGAGGGCAAGAATTTTACTCATTAATGAAATATAACTGAGAATTACAGATCTGCACCTCTGTGGAAGCCCAATTATCAGTTTCCTCAGGACTGTCCAGCAGGAAAATGATTGCATTCCAGATATGAATAGCTAAGCCAACACTGTTAAGATTTGCATATTGTATTCTATTTTCCTCTGCAAAGAAAGTCATCTTTTCCACTAGAAAGAATGTCTGTGGAATCAGGACCTGAAGGTTACAACACAAACTCTAAACCACCAAATGTTAGTTCTAGGAATGACTGCTTGACTCAAGAGTAGGGAGTATACCTTTAGCTATTTTTTGTGGAACTGAAAAGGTACAAGAAACAGAAGTAAAATAAATTCTAGTTTGTCCTGCTACTCTATTCCACCGTGTCTTGTCTTTTACTGAAGTCTTAAGTAAAAGCTACCTTAAGTAAAACTACTTTTGTGCCATCCAATCATTAATTTGATTCTAAGATTAAAGAATTTCTATGCTCTCTTTTTTAAATTGCTTTGAAATAAGCCAAGTCAGTTCACAAAATACTGATACTGTATATTCTCACACTTAAAATTTTCATTAAATCAAATAATATGAACAAAATAGTACAGCACTGACACACATCCTTAAATGTAGTATGAACTTTTGAAAAAATAAACTGCAACTCTCTTTCAAGCCCAAATGGATATCAGAGAATGAGTCTCCATCTATTTTTATTCAAGTTTTCTGCATTCCAATGCTCTTAAGACTGACATACTTTCTGCTCCTTCTTATCCCATGACAGTAGTGATCCAAAGAGCACCACTGAAGGTCTTCTCATGTGATGGATATGAAAGCACACTTGGATTTCCTTGCTATGACAATTTGAAAAGATCAGTTCCTACTGCCCCTGTGGAGATCAGATCTTTTCAACTTCTTGAATTGCTATTTTAATCTCATTTTTCTATTATTTTTTTTTTTAACCTCCATTACCCTTTATGGGCTTGGTCAGCAGAGTTACCATATTAGCAATTTCTAGGCATTTGAGACTGTAAATGTCTGAGGAGAAAAGAGCATTGCTTATTCAGATTTTTGTCATATTTCATGTTCTCTCTCTGGATAGAATATACACTATCTATGTTCTGCAGAACATACACTAGCCATAGTTGAATGAAATCTAAACCCTGTTGTTAGGTAACAAATATTACGATGATGATTCTGTGATTATCATTATTTTACAATTACCCATTTTGCTGCCACCTATAACAAGAAATCAACATCCCCTTTACCCATAAAACAAGTGTTCCTACCTGAATATACTAAAAGAATTACAGATCAGAATAAAAAATACATTGTTGTATGTATTTTGAGTGTCAATTTCTTAATACTATGACAAATAACAAGTATTATATTAAAATAATTTGAAAGGACATTAAAAATGGACCTTTTAAGGCATGTACTGTAAGTCTGATACACAGTCCTGAAAACAGTTATTGTGCCCTACTTTCAAAAAACTTCTGGAATAGCTTTAGTTATGAAATATGAATGAAGAAAAGCACCAAAATAAAACTATACTTTACAAAACACTTTTAAAAATTGTCAGAGATACAGATAGGCATTTCTTCACTGACTTCCATATGAGCACACAGTTTATAAAAGCCTCATTGCTATAAATATGATCACAACTTTCTATAGAAGTAGTATTATCTTCTGGCATCGGTAGGCTTTTTCAAACCTGATATGTAAGGAGATACTTAGCCAATCCATTGAATGATGTAGTTTCTTCAGAAACTAACTAAAACCCTAAGAAACTACTTAGATCCCATTTCTACATGGGACCACTGCCACCTGAGTATCCCCTGCCTCTCGGTTCCAGAAAACTACTCACAGGACATCTACAGAACATGAGTGTTTTGATCCCAGCTTGTACCAATACATGATTCCTTGTGCAGTCACTTACCATCCAAAAACAGGAACATGACGAGACAAACCAGAGAAATTTATAAATTCACTAAATACATTAAAAAAAGTGCAAGTTTTAGTCTTCTGGCATTAGTGTACAGCACTTGTGTCCAACATTTTCTTTAAGACGTACCAATGGATAGAAACAGAATGGTTTGGGTTGGAAGGGACCTTAATGACCATTTAGTTCCAACTGCCCTGCTGTGGGCAGGGACACCTTCCACTAGATCAGGTTGCTCAAAAACCCATCCCACCTGACCTGTAACACTTCCAGGGATGGAGTATCCACAACTTCTCTGGGAAGCCTGTTCTGGTGTCTCACCATTCTCATTGAGAAGGAAAGTTAAGACATGCAAGACATTTCTTCCTGGCAGGACCTCGCCCTCATCCACCCAAAAGGCCATCACCTTGTGTGACCAGAGCCACAGTACTATACATACACCTCATCCCGGGGCTGACATGTGGCCACAAGCTTGCTCACCATATGATCAGCGCGCTTGCATGATCCAGCTGTTTAAACAATGCATGTGCCTGTCCTGTTAGGTGCAGCCACATGTGGCCACCAAAAAAGGCCCCTAAGGGGTGCTGTCAAATAGGGCAGCAGGAGCTGGTGTGCAGTAACAGCTCTACAAAACAACCCATATCCCCATATCCAACCAACACACGAGGGACCTTTTCAGAAGACAGCAGCAGGAGGTGCACTGGCCGCTCTCATTGGGGTCAGGCACAGGTCAGCCCTGAGCACAGACCTCTCCCATGGAGCAGCTGAGGGAGCAGAGACACCCACCAGAGCCATGCAGGCTTCCCTGGTTTCTGCTGCTTTTCCAATAGCACTAAAATACACCTCCTTGTTCAACAGTTTTTCAGAACACCCTATTCACGGTCAATGGGTCAAAAGACCTTGAGTACTTTTGAAAAAATTATATTTTACATTTTTCCCTGACAAGCATCTAATCAGTTGTTGGGCAACTGATTAGATATAACAGAGAGAAAAACTTCAGATTGAAACTACCAAATAACTAAGACAGCATGATATTTAAATCAAATCTAGGCCAACCACACAATATAGATTCTCTCTAGTGCTGAGACATCCTTGAACATTGTACAAAGAGCTGCCATCCTTCATTTAATAGTTCTTGTATTATGAGAGACCAGATTAGATCAGTAATGTAGTACATTGTATTGGACTTTATAATCAAATATATCAATGCAGTTACATAGCTCTATACTAAAACAAGAGTAAAATTTAGATTTCCAGGTAAGCAAGTGGTTAATTTTTTTTTGCCCAACTAGACACTTCCCAGATTTGTCTAAAGGTGACTTCATCTTTTGTCTGTCATTCATTCCAACTCAGCGAAAATAGAAATGTACATGAAACTGCCATTTCCATAATCTGCAAGTGAGCTGGTAAAACACAAGACTGCTGCAAAGACTTGCCTACTGATGGAGCCATCAGTGTCTGCATGATATTCAGAGACGTTCTTTCCCCACTTTTTCATTCCTTTGTCTCATATCGCGTTCAAGTCACACACTCAAGTTCCCTGCTCTCTTCCGGTACTCCTCCCTCTTCTGCACTGTTTGTTATCCCTCTTCTTTTCCTTTCTTTTTAAGTTCTACTCTTTCCAGGTACTTTAAATCCCACTCCTACAAAAGTTTACGTTAAAAATTTGACACAATTTCTGACAGTACAAATCACTGTTTCACTCTATTTAGTTGTACATTAAAACTCTCATAACTTTGGTTTCATGATACAAACTGCAAACTTGGAGGAGAACTGAAAAATCTCTTATCCATGTTTGAGTGGTGGTTAGCACAATGGAGATCTTAAATGGGACCTCACACAGCTGGACACTGTAAACTTATGTTGAACCATATGATAAAATTGCAACAGTTTTACTTAAATACTGAACATACAATATATCTTATGTATATAATTTGAAATATATAGTATATATGCATAACTATATAAATTGCTTAAACACTTTTTATACACGTTATTCAAATAAAAGTAACATTTTTCCATGTAAAATACACTTGTCCTATACCGCTTCCTTAATTGACAATGAGAGCTTTTCAGAGTGTATTATATGGATTTTCCTCAAAATAGGAAGAAATAGAAAAAGTGTGTAAGATTTTAAATGCTTTAGGCATCAAAGCAGAAAAACTCTCCATTTTCCTAGGAAGAATATTTCTATGTCAAAGTTGAATTGAGATAAACAGAAATGACAAAAATTTATACTGATGGTGAAAACACTTGTAAGCTGAAAAGAAATGAATTAAAAAGCAATAAAACAGTTTTACTAAAGTAATAAAACATATCATTTTGTTCAGAAAAATTGTTTTGTTTAAAAAAAAGATTGCATGTTCAAATATGAAAAAAACTCCTGTTGAAATACGCAAACATTATGTGTGACAAAAGCAAAGGCATTTTGCAACATTTCAGTGCCCCTTGACAAACTGCTGTAAGGACTTCCCCAAACAGAAGTACAGCTCATGTTGGTTCCTGAGAAGCAAGGAATTAGCGCATTAGTCGGTTCCAGCAAACAGAAAATAAAAGCTTCAGTCCAACCTGAAAAGGATGTTTGCTAAAAAAAAATTAACGTTTAGCAAATGCCCAGAGAAAAAAGATGTTCGACCATTTTCTTCATTCCATAGAACACTGTTGATTAGGCAACTTGAACAGGATCTCCAAATGATTAAACTGTAATACACAAGTATTATGTACATTTAAATGGTAATGTGAGAGAGAAAATCAATCTAGTTCCTACCAGTTTGGCTGAGCTGAGATGTGCTGCGACTTTTTCTTGAGAGACCCACTATGGCGACCATCTTCGCGCCAATGCTGGACCGTCGCTTTTTGCTGCCGCCACCAACAGTGCCCACTGCTGTGTCAGACTGGCTGCCATCATTCTTCTCCAGCGTGTACATGTCCCCGCTGATGCTGGTGCTCTTAGTCATGTTCTTTCCTGAGACGCCCATCTGTCTGCTTTGCATTTTGGATGTAAAGACACTGTCAGCCAGTAGACGGATAAACAGTGCAGACAAAGAGTAAAAAGGGGAAGACAGAAAAGGACAGGTTTCAGATGGAAGGTTTTGGGAGACTAGAGGGTAAAAGCAGCTAATCACACAGGTAGGGCTTGGTTTTGAGAGGTAAAAAGGAGCGACTTTAATTCTAGGTTCTTGTTTGGTCTACTGTAAAAATACTTGACTCATCAAAATTGTGTTTTAAATAACAAGCTCTTATTTACTGATGACTTAAAATATATTACCAACAAAAGTATATCAAAGAATTAATGTATCCATATATCATAGAACCATTTTTGGGTTGCGAAATTCAAGTTCTGCAGTCAGTGCTCTGCCTCTCTTCTTCTCACATATATGTACAAAAATGACCTCTAGGAAACAGACACTTGATTCATTACTGAGTGGAAAAGGATATCAGTCTGAAGGCTAGTTTTGGTTTCCAAACATGCAGACATTTCAAGGATGTTTTCAGTAAGTTTTTAGTAATCTGGTTTATCTCAGTCATCATACAGTAATGAACACTAATAGGTTTTTTGCTTTCTCTCTTCATCAACAAACACAGCTCTTAGATATGTATTTCATACAACACTTGGCTGCTATGTGATATAGATCACCACTACTGATAAAATAGAATTTAATTCTAATATACCTTTTATACTCATTTACAGACTGTTTTTACATGCTCTATGTGGCTGCATCTAAATTATCTGCTGTAGCATTTCACAAGTCCCACAGGGATCTGATCTACTAGTGGACCAGGCTAAGGGACTTTTCCCTTCCACAGAAGTGGCAATCTACACTGATGACAGCAGTACTTATCCACATTTTGCCCTGACATCTAACTGGTAGGTGTCTGGACAAATATCCAGAACTGGAAACTCTGGAGTACATGTGGGCCTGAGAGAGAATAGGCCATTCTCTCTCCACAGAGAGTGCATTTCACTAAAAAGTCCCCATGAGATGCAGTTTTAAACAATCCATAAAACAGTGGAGTACTTTTGGAAACCAGGGGAAATTAAATCACCAGTATGTAAAGGCTAAAAAAAAATAGTTTTGCTCTTTAAACAGATTTTCAAATACGTGCAGAGGCTGTTCTTAGAGTTTTACTGCTCAGAAAGTGGCTGTAGAGTAAATTTTAGTGGGTATAGCCTCACTCCTTTTTCCTTACCTGTAATGGCCTGAATCTATTTCAAAAACTGAAGGTTTTATTGCTTCTTTATGAATTTTTTGCAACATATATTCTGTCAATACCTTATCTATGGAATTAATGCAGTGCCCTCAAAAGCAAAAGAATCACTGGGTCGCTTCCCACAGATTCAAGGGAATTTGGGATGAGGCAACTCTTTGATATATCTGAGAGGTACCCAGACAGTGCTCCTCTGCTCTTTGGTTGACAGTTGCATGTGCATGAAAGCACAAAATGCTTGTAGTTTAGCCACAACTCAGTGGGAAAGCAAAGAGCTAGTTCGTAGAAGAAGTAGACCTCTGTCATCAAGTGAAAAAAATGCTGAGTGTCCTTCTCAGGGAAGTTACAAGGGAAAATATGAATGAGAGTTTGGATCAACAGATAGAGAAGCACAAAACAAAGCTGCGAGAGAGCCATAGTGGCCTTGCCTGGACAGACAATAACAAAAGACTGGAACACAGTGGTAACCTGAAATCATTTTTCTTACCCTTTTTTAGCTCTCTTTGTTGTTATATTAGTACACACTGACTCTCATTGGCATATTTATAACCAAGGAAGGAGTATGATAGGATGTGGGTAAAGAAGAAGGCAAGGAAGACAATAGAAGAGGAATTGTATTTCTGTGTCTTTTCAGTACTACGATAACTTACTTCTCAGATGGTAACATCACATGCTGTACTTTTTATCAAATAAAACCTTAGGGATTGATTCACAAAAATCACACAGAATGACACAGAAACTAGTTCTCAGTTTTAACACTACCTTGCATATAAAAAATACTAGAGGTTTAGAAACCTGGGAAGAGCTAGTATCTTCAACTTTATCTTGAGTAAAATTCTAATAAGAATCAGAAAATTAGAGCCCCTTATCCAGTAATGCTTTCTTTAACCCAAGTTCTCAAAGGAAATATGATTAACATGACTGGGTTTTTAGTCAGGTNTCAACATTTTTTAAAATCCTTTCAAATTAGACAGAGCAGTAGAAAACTAAAGCTGTTTAGTTTCTAAAACTGTTTTGAAAACAGACTCCTGAAAAGAGATCTTATAAATACCTCTTTGGGGAAAGATTGCAGTATAAGTCATTATTGAATCTCTGTTATTTTATGTAGCATCTCATTTACATGCACAGGCTGATGAAGGAAATAACTTTTTTACTGCTTGCAGAACAACCTATTTTCTATGATCCAATTTTCAAAAATAATACCCAGAAAATCAGTGGAAAATAGTAATCAATGCATTCTTTTGTAAATGATATTAACATTCAAGAAATGTCTTATAGCAAAGGAAAAAAATATTCTGCTGACTCATACAAAAGTTGCACTGAGGAGGAATTTACCATTTCCTGAGTCTAATGTGCCTTTGAGGTGCTTTGTGTGCCCTTTCCAAGATGTGTAATTCTATTTAAGTGGAATGGATTACAATAATTACCCTTATTAGAGAAATCAATATATTTAAAGAGGTTGGCATGCAAACAAAGTTGGTATAATCTCACTATGCAGTTAGCTATGAAGGTACTGTGAATTTCAAAAATTTGCTCCTTCACTGCTAAAGGCTTCTGTATCACAAAATGAAGTTTTGCTGTGTACACCTGCCAGCAGTGATGTAGACTTCATTCAGACACCTTCTCTCAACCAACTGAGAAAAGTAGGAAAGGGAATTCAAGTGAGAAAAAAGAGATTTATATTTAGATTTATGTGAAAATGCCAAATACTAGTATAAATGGCTAATACTGAAAGTTCATTCACAAACTTCTATTTTTTTCCCCCCAGTAGAGTCCTAAAACTATTTGCTATATTTAAAGGTTTGGGGGGGTTTTCCCCTACTTTAAAAGCAACAGAGAAGACATCTTTGTTACAGTCCCAACTAGCAAACAACTCCTGGAGAAAACCATCACATAGCAGTGGCTTAGTTTTTTCTCAATTCCTCTTGCAACAAAAAAGCTTTGAGAAATAAGCACAAAGAGAGTTCTGAGTGGTTTATAGTTCCTCATAATAAACCTACAGTGGTCATGAGCACTTCCTTCACCAACACTCTGAACCCCTTCTGGCCATCCAAACCCTAATTCACTAATTATTTTTGGTAGATGCTTGATAGATGCTCGATATTCTCACCAGTAGAAGCCATCCTTCTAACCAGGCTGCTTTTTGACAGTGTCAGAAACGGATAATTTTCAGAAAAACTGTATGTTGTATGTCATGTTTGGTTCCTTTCTGAGGTAACAGAAAAGTTGGACTTCAGAGCAAAATTTAGAGAGTAAATCATACAACCTTTTCTCTTAACAGGAAACAGAAATTACTGGAAGTTTTCTTTACATGTACATATATAGAAACAATCACACACATATCCAGTTCAACAATATTTTAAAACTGACATTAAATAAAAGAAATTTATGAGATTGTATGAGTCAATGAATAGATGTGCACTAAAAACAGGGTTCTCAAGGTGCCTTATAAGATATTAATCTTAAAAATATCCTCATCAAAGAGAACATGCAGCCAGATGGGAGGGAGGGGGGAATAAAATAATTAACTATCCCAGTCCAAATAACATGTGCATAGTGGCATAATAATACCATTATTAGAACCAAAACAAAACCAAAATCATCACACAACCCCAGTTGTGTGGCAGCCCACAGCCTATAGCAATAGCAGAGTGAAGACGGCAGCCAGGCTATTGACTTTGGTTTGACCAACCCATGAACAAGGGAGGGGTGATGGGCAAAGCTCACAGGGCAGCATTGCTTCCTGCATTAGCGGTAAATCCAGGAAAGCACCTGAGGACAGCAAGAGCTGCAGACAGGTCTCTGGTTAAGCGTCTGGTCAGCTTCTTCAACTCTCCAGGGAACAGTGAAAAAGGAAGGATTACTCTACTCTGTCTTCCACTCCAATCACTTCCTTTTCTAGTTTTTCTCAGTTGTGAGAAGTAACTTTGCACAGCCTGCCAAAAATACAGCATTCCTATGTAGTTTTTCCACAAACAAGCAGGAGGAGTACTCAAATGCAAGTTAAATGACTAACAAGTGTAATACAAACCCTGAAATCTGATCATCAATTAAAATAGTCTACTTAAAGCAAACTTAAGACAGATGTTAAGTATTTTTATATTTTCCAAAGTGACAATTATTCCAGATAGTCAGTGTTCAGCTGAGCATTTCATCTTCCTATGTATTTTACAGTACATTTTCTAAACTTTAACAGTTTATGGTCACCTACACTATGGATAAATTTTAGAGGAATACATTCTCAAAGCTAAAGCAGAAAGTTCTTAAAAAAAAACCAAACTAGAGAAAAATAAGACATTAGAAAACAAATTACAGTAAGACATCTATATAAATTTGTAATTTAAAGCCAACAGTGGAGTATGACAGCCCTAATCACTAGATAATATTCTTAAAAATATATACTAGACAACTGAGGGCAGTCAGACTGATGGATACCTATGACATTAAAGGTATTCTAAGTAAGTTTGCTGATGATACTAAATTGGGAGGAGCCGTTGACTCCCTCAGAGGCAGAAAGGCCCTGCAGAGGGACCTCAATAAATCAGAGGGCTGGACAATCACCAACCATATGAAGTTTAAAAAAGACAAGTGCCTGATTCTGCACCTGGGACGGAGGATGTAGGTACAGACTGGGGAACAAGAGGCTGGAGAGCAGTGCTGTAGAAAGGGACCTGAGGGTCTTTTTGGCAGGTTGAATATGAATCAGCAGTGCCCTGGCAGCCAGGAGGGCCAATCATGTCCGGGGGGGGCATCAGGTAAAGCATCGCCAGCCAGTGGAGGGAGGGGATTGTCCCGCTCTG